AGGCTAATTTACCCCTCACTCACACACATACACCCATGATCCAAACTCTCCTGGATTTACTTTTGAACCCTTCTGAAAGGGTTAATGAAAACTCTTTCTTTAAGATCCGGCAGGATATGACACAGGCCTATAGGATTTTGGTGATTCACCTAAGAGGAAAGGACCTAGGAGGACTCAGCCAGTCTCAGCTTCTCCCTCAATCTGTGACTGAATACAGAATAACACACTTTGGAAAGGACCTTGGAGGTCATTTAGTCCAACCCCCTGCTCAAACAGGAAACCCTAGACTAGGTTGGCAAACCTTTTCGGCACCAAGTGCCGAAACGGGAGTGTGCGCGAGAAACCAAAAGAGGAGCACGCCAGGAAGATGATTTTCCCGGTTTCTGGCGCGCACATGCATACCTGGCCTTCCAGTTTCTGGCATGCATGCATGTGTGAAGACGAGGTGGCCGGCACGCATGTGTGCGCTGGAAACTGGAAGATCATCTTCGCGGCACGCGTGCATGTGCTTCCGGTTTCTGGCACTCCTGCTTGTGTGAAGACCAGCTGGCCGGCACCCCGGGAACTCAGAAGAGCAACGAGCGATGGAGAGATGCCCAGAGAGATGACTCTGCGTGCCACTTCAGCATGCGTGCCAGACAGGCGTGGGTTCTACTTACCTTTACTACCGGTTTGCAGTGGGGCCATGCGTGTGCGCAAGCAAAGCATTTCAACTCCCAGTATTCTTAATCTCTGCAATTTTAAGATGGGTGGACTTCAACTCCCAGAATCCTCAACTGTGGCAACTTTAAGATGAGTGGACTTCAGCTCCCAGAATTCTCAATCTCCGCCACTTTAAGATAGGTAGACTTCAACTCCCAGAATCCTCAACTTCAGCAATTTTAAGATGGATGAATTTCAACTCCCAGAAATTCTCAATCGCTGCAACTTTAAGATAGGTAGACTTCAATTCCCAGAATCCTCAACTTCAGCAATTTTAAGATGGATGGATTTCAACTCCCAGAATTCTCAATCTCTGTAGACTTCAATTCCCAGAATCCTCAACTTTGGCAACTTTAAGATGGGCGGACTTCAGCTCCCAGAATCCTCACTTTGGCAATTTTAAGATGGATGGACTTCAGCTCCCAGAATCCTCAACTTCAGCAATCGTAAGATGGATGGATTTCAACTCCCAGAAATCTCAATCGCTGCAACTTTAAGATAGGTAGACTTCAATTCCCAGAATCCTCAACTTCAGCAATTTTAAGATGGATGGATTTCGACTCCCAGAATTCTCGATCTCTGTAGACTTCAATTCCCAGAATCCTCAACGTTGGCAAATTTAAGATGGGCGGACTTCAGCTCCCAGAATCCTTAACTTCAGCAATTGTAAGATGGATGGATTTCAACTCCCAGAATTCTCGATCTCTGCAACTTAAAGATAGGTGGACTTCAACTCCCAGAATTCCCCCAGACGGGCCTGGCTGGGGGAATTCTGGGAGTTGAAGTCCACCCATTTTAAAAGTTACGGAGATTGAGAAATTCTGCTCCGAAGGGGCCACGGTCTTTGAGGAGCAAATCGGAAGGGCTGTCACTCACGTGTGGAAAGATGCCAGGAGGAGGATGAGCCAAAGCTCGGTTGGTGGCCGAGTTTTCTCTGTGCGCTTTTAGAGCTGAGTCATCCATCCTTCCTTCTCGGGAGTCATTTCACTCACATTGCAAAGGATCCAAGCCACCTTCTCTTGCAAAGGCAGACGTGTCCCTTTCCTCCCGTAACCAAAACCAGAAGTGGGAGCAGGAGGTCAGCCAGACCAAGGACGAGGAATAGAGAAGCGGGCACTGACCTCCGAGCAGCGATGGCTTTCAGATTATGCTACTACCGGTTCGCCGTGCAGGCTTGCTTCTTGTGCGCGCGTGCCCCCGGTTTGCACGCACGCGTGGCCGGTTTGCACATACGCCTGCCTGCCTTCCACGCATCCGCCGGGCCTCAAAAACTTGCCTAAATAGGATGTCGTAGAGCAGGGATGGCTAACCTTTTTGCCACCGCGTGCCAAAAGCGGGAGGAGCATGGGGGGGGGTGTCGTCCACATGCGTGCCCACCCCCATAATTCTATGCGCTCCACCCCCGCGTATATGAACGCAACCCCACATGGTCCCCCTCTCCTGGGATGCAATAGCACGCTAGGCCCGTTTTTCTCTCTCCCCAGGCTCCAGAGCCTTTCTGGGAGCCTGGGGAGGGCAAAAATAGCCTTCCCCACCTTCCCCGGGAGGCCCTCCGGAGACCGGAAACATCCCGTTTGCCAACTTCCGGTCCCACAATGATACAGCTTATACAGAAGTCCCTAGAAAGGCTCTGGAGCCTGGGGAGAGCCAAAAAATGGGCCTTCCAGTCCCATTGGAAGTTGGCAAATGGGAAGGCCGTTTTCGCCCTCCCCAGGCTCCTAGAAAGGCTCTGGAGAGAGGAAAATGGGCTTTCCCCACCCACCCCTCCAAGTCCCTCCTGAGGCAGGAAACGGCTTGTTTCCCTACTTCCGGTGGGCCCACAAGAGCTGAAAATCAGCCGGCCATCGTGCACATGCGCACCGGAGCTGAGCGCCATCAACGGGCTCATTTCCGGCCTTCCCGAACTTCCGGTAGGCCCGTTTTTCGCCCTCCTCGAGTCTCTGCGCACGCCCGTCACTTACCTGGATCCAAAACGGGCCACGTCGTGAGGACTCCTCGGAGGGGAGGGGCGGGGTGGGCGGGGCCAGCCAGGAGTGGGATTTGGGGGAATCCCCCCCAACAGGCCACCCCTGGTGTAAATTAAGGAATACCTGTACAACTGCAACTACAATTCCCAGCAGCCATCGGGGGGAGAGAGGGAGGGGTGAGCAGGGATTGGCACCTGGACTGGAGGGCCGCAGAATGATGCCCCCCATTACCTGGGATTAAAAACTCACCTGCTGGGTTTTGTCACTACACCGTGTTGCTCCGCCAGTCCCCGTCGGCCGAGTAAGTTGTCACAGCTAAACCCAAATTAAACAAAATTTGAGTGACTCCGTTGTTTCTTCCCTTCCGCACGAAGTGAATCATCCTTGTTGACTTTTTTGGCGGGGGGGCGGGAAAGGATGCCGCTGGGGTTATCCTTTCCTCCCACGGCTAAACTTTCTCCTAGTTCAGCCTGCCTTAACAAACGGAGGAGCAGAACTTGAAATCATTCCTTTCATCTCATTCTCAGCCTCCCACAACGAACCCGCTTAGAATGCTCGTGGCAGATAGCCTGCTCCTGGCTGGGGAGGCTCCGTGTTACAAAGGTGACTAACACTTCCAGAGGAGAGTTGGACAGCGTTAGTGAGTTTTTCCCTGAGCCCAGCAAAAGGTGTGTTTAAAGGTACCTAGAGTACTATATGTACAGACATGTGAAGTTTGTGGCTTGTGGCAAGGAGTTCCACAGTTAATCTGGGGGCGGGGGTTTATTTAAAGAGGGATTTTTGTTCACTGGCTGGCCTTGTATTTTATTTTATTATTTTTTTAAAAAAATGTACTAGACATACCTTGTTCCTGCAATCTCCAGGATATCACAGGTAGGTTCACCTGACTAAACCTGGTTCCTGATTTCTAAGGTCACAAAACACCGTTAAGTAACCCACAGACAAGACACACAAAGCGAATCAAACAGGGTTTGCCCAGGTGAAATTGCCAAAAGCCAACTGACTTCAAAGCTCCTGTTCCAGTTCCTTCTTAAAAAACTTCTAGCGTTGGAGCAACCACAACTTCTGGTGGCAAGCAGTCCCACCGGTTAATTGTCCTCGCTGTCAAATTTCTCTTTAATTCCAGGTTGCTTCTCTCCTTGATGAGTTTCCATCCGTTGCTTCTTGTCCTGCCTTCAGGTGCTTTGGAGAAGAGGGTGACACCCCACCCCACCCCGCCCTCTTCTTTGGAGCAGCCCCCCCCCCAAAATATTGGAAGACTGCGATCATGTCACCTCCCCTCAAAGTTGGAAAATCTCTCCTGAATTTCTAAGGTTGGAATGGACTCTTCTTTTATAATCTTCCAACTGTTGCTTCTTGTCAGTTAATGGTTCTCCAGTTTCTTCTTAAAAACCTTCTTTTTAGGAAGGAAGGAAGGAAGGAAGGAAGGAAGGAAGGAAGGAAGGAAGGAAGGAAGGAAGGAAGGAAGGAAGGAAATTTCTCAGAAGTATGTCAGTTGGAAGAAAATTCAAGAAGGGAGGGAGGGAGGAAGGAAGGAAGGAAGGAGGGAGGGAGGAAGGAAGGAAGGAAGGAAGAAAGGAAGAAAATTTCTCAGAAGTATGTCAGATGGAAGAAAATTCAAGAAGGGAGGGAGGAAGGAAGGAAGGAGGAAAGGAAGGAAGGAAGGAAGGAAGGAAGGAAGGAAGGAAGGAAGGAAATTTCTCAGTATGTCAGTTGGAAGAAAATTCAAGAAGGAAGGAAGGAAGGAAGGAAGGAAGGAAGGAAGGAAGGAAGGAATCAGAAGTATGTCAGTTGGAAGAAAATTCAAGGAGGGAGGGAGGAAGGAAGGAAGGAAGGAGGGAGGGAAGGAAGGAAGGAAGGAGGAAAGAGGAAATTTCTCAGAAGTATGTCAGTTGGAAGAAGATTCAAGGAGGGGGAGGGAGGGAGGGAGGGAGGGAGGGAGGGAGGAAGGAAGGAAGGAAGGAAGGAAGGAAGGAAGGAGGGAGGGAAGGAAGGAAGGAAATTTCTCAGAAGTATGTCAGTTGGAAGAAAATTCAAGGAGGGAGGGAGGAAGGAAGGAAGGAAGGAAGGAGGGAGGGAAGGAAGGAAGGAAGGAAGGAAATTTCTCAGAAGTATGTCAGTTGGAAGAAAATTCAAGGAGGGAGGGAGGAAGGAAGGAAGGAAGGAGGGGAGGGAGAAAGGAAGGAAGGAAGGAAGGAAATTTCTCAGAAGTATGTCAGTTGGAAGAAAATTCAAGGAGGGAGGGAGGAAGGAAGGAAGGAAGGAAGGAAGGAGGGAGGGAAGGAAGGAAGGAAGGAAAGAAAGAAGGAAATTTCTCAGAAGTATGTCAGTTGGAAGAAGATTCAAGGAGGGAGGGGAGGGAGGGAGGGAGGGAGGAAGGAGGGAGGGAGGAAGGAAGGAAGGAAGGAAGGAAGGAAGGAAATTTCTCAGAAGTATGTCAGTTGGAAGAAAATTCAAGGAGGGAGGGAGGGAGGGAGGGAGGAGGGAGGAAGGAAGGAAGGAAGGAAGGAGGGAGGGAAGGAAGGAAGGAAGGAAGGAAGGAAGGAAGGAAATTTCTCAGAAGTATGTCAGTTGGAAGAAAATTCAAGGAGGGAGGGAGGGAGGAAGGAGGGAGGGGAGGAAGGAAGGAAGGAAGGAGGGGGGAGGGAAGGAAGGAAGGAAGGAAGGAAGGAAATTTCTCAGAAGTATGTCAGTTGGAAGAAAATTCAAGGAGGGAGGGAGGGAGGGAGGGGGAGGAAGGAAGGAAGGAAGGAAGGAGGGAGGGAAGGAAGGAAGGAAGGAAGGAAGGAAGGAAATTTTCTCAGAAGTATGTCAGTTGGAAGAAAATTCAAGGAGGGAGGGAGGGAGGAGGGAGGGAGGGAGGGAGGAAGGAAGGAGGGAGGGAGGAAGGAAGGAAGGAAGAAGGAAGGAAGGAAGGAAATTTCTCAGAAGTATGTCAGTTGGAAGAAAATTCAAGGAGGGAGGGAGGGAGGGAGGAGGGAGGGAGGAAGGAAGGAAGGAGGGAGGGAAGGAAGGAAGGAAGGAAGGAAGGAAGGAAGGAAATTTCTCAGAAGTATGTCAGTTGGAAGAAAATTCAAGGAGGGAGGGAGGAGGGAGGGAGGGAGGAAGGAAGGAAGGAAGGAAGGAGGGAGGGAAGGAAGGAAGGAAGGAAGGAAGGAAGGAAGGAAGGAAGGAAATTTCTCAGAAGTATGTCAGTTGGAAGAAAATTCAAGGAGGGAGGGAGGAGGGAGGGAGGGAGGAAGGAAGGAAGGAAGGAAGGAAGGAGGGAGGGAAGGAAGGAAGGAAGGAAGGAAGGAAGGAAGGAAATTTCTCAGAAGTATGTCAGTTGGAAGAAAATTCAAGGAGGGAGGGAGGGAGGGAGGGAGGAGGGAGGGAGGAGAGGGGAGGGAGGAAGGAAGGAAGGAAGGAAGGAAGGAGGGAGGGAGGGGGAAGGAAGGAAGGAAGGAAGGAAAATTCTCAGAAGTATGTCAGTTGGAAGAAAATTCAAGGAGGGAGGGAGGGAGGGAGGGAGAGGGAGGGAGGAAGGAGGGGGGAGGAAGGAAGGAAGGAAGGAGGGAGGGAGGGAAGGAAGGAAGGAAGGAAGGAAATTTCTCAGAAGTATGTCAGTTGGAAGAAAATCAAGGAGGGAGGGAGGGAGGGAGGGAGGGAGGGAGGAAGGAAGGAAGGAAGGAAGGAGGGAGGGAAGGAAGGAAGGAAGGAAGGAAGGAAGGAAGGAAGGAAGGAAGGAAATTTCTCAGAAGTATGTCAGTTGGAAGAAAATTCAAGGAGGGGGGAGGGAGGGAGGGAGGGAGGGAGGGAGGAAGAGGGGGAGGAGGAAGGAAGGAAGGAAGGAGGGAGGGAGGGAAGGAAGGAAGGAAGGAAGGAAATTTCTCAGAAGTATGTCAGTTGGAAGAAAATTCAAGGAGGGAGGGAGGGAGGGAGGGAGGGAGGAAGGAAGGAAGGAAGGAGGGAGGGAAGGAAGGAAGGAAGGAAGGAAGGAAGGAAGGAAGGAAATTTCTCAGAAGTATGTCAGTTGGAAGAAGAAAATTCAAGGAGGGAGGGAGGGAGGGAGGGAGGGAGGGAGGAAGGAAGGAAGGAAGGAAGGAAGGAGGGAGGGAAGGAAGGAAGGAAGGAAGGAAGGAAGGAAATTTCTCAGAAGTATGGAAGGAAGGAAGGAAGGAAGGAAGGAAGGAAGGAAGGAAGGAAGGAAGGAAGGAAGGGACAGAGTCGGAAGGGACCTTGGAGGTCATCTAGTCCAACCCCCTGCTCACCCTGGAGACCCCTACTAGGGATTCGAACCGCTGGACCTTTCTGATCCACGGGTCCTCCGGCCTTTCAGGTAGCTCCACCGGCTGAACTTCTCTTCTGCAGCCCAGGCTAAAAAACTGCACCGGTTGGATTTCTACCTTGGAAGCATCTTTCCCCCCTCCACCCCCCCAAAAAAGCCCAGGAAAGCAGAATCAATGGGGTAGAGAGCCCTCCCCCCAAATTGTACTCCGCCAAAGCATCCATTTTCTCTCCCCCCACCTCCCATTTCCCGTGTGGCTCGGCCACCGACCGTTGCTCGGTGATTCATTCTACATTTCTAGTCGTTCATCCTTTTGGCGAGCGAATTGAAAGATGCCATTCCTGGCGTCTGAATCACTCGCAAGGGCATAAAATGGTTGTGTGTGTGTGTGTGTGTGTGTGTGAAGGGGGGGGAACAGGACCTGCCAATCGGTGCCTTAATTTCCTTTCCCCCCCCATCCCCTCCCGCTGTAGAGGAAATGGGGGAAACTGAGTCACTTCTTTCATCCCCTTTTCATCATCAGCCTGTTATGAAACCCTGCATTTTTTTTTCATTTTTTTTGTGCAGGGGAGTGAAACGTGACACACACGTGACCCAATTGGGTCACGTGAAGATGCTTCCTTGACCCTGGGGGTGGGGGAGGGTCCTTATTAACAGAGGAACAGAGTTGGAAGGGACCTTGCAAGGTCATCTAGTCTGACCCCCCTCCCTCCGCCCCAAGCAGGAGAGCCCACACCCGTGAGGCTGTTTTCGCCTTCCCCAGGCTCCTAGAAAGGCTCTGGTGCCTGGGGAGGGCAAAAAAATGGGCTTACCGGGCCCACCGTGCCAAAAGCGGGGAGAGAGTTGGGGGGTCATGCGTGTATGTGTGTGGGCACGCGCACATGCAATCCCCCCCCATTACCCCCGCTTTTGGATCCGTTACTACAACGAAGGGTAAAAGGCATCAGTCTAAGAAACCAGGGGTGTGAGTTCTAGTGCTGCCTTAGGCATGGCTAGGGGATCTCGGGCCAGCCACTCTCTCCCAGCCCTAGGAAGGAGGCAATGGCACGCCAAGGGGCGTGATTTCTAGTAGAGCCTTAGGCATGGAGGCTCCTGGGCGATACTGGGCCAGCCACTCTCTCCCAGCCTCAGGAAGGAGGCAATGGCACGCCAAGGGGCGTGATTTCTAGTGCCACGTTAGGCACGGAGGCGGCTGGGTGGTCTCGGGGCCAGCCACTCTCTATTAGCCCTAGGAAAGAGGCAATTCTTTATTCTTTTAACAAACACCTCACTTAAAGCCCCAGAAATGTTGGGCTCAGTTGCGGTCGTAAAATCGAGGACTACCTGTATATTTCTGACCCCCCCCCCCAATTCTGCCATTCAAGGAGCTGAGCGGGCCATCAAAATTAAAAATAATAAAAAATTAGATGGGGTGCTTTTCTAAAGACTGAAAAACCAAGTTTCCGATGCTTTATACTTTTTGTTTTAAAAAAAACCCTTAAATACCGATTGCAATGCAGTTTGCCCCTCGCTTTTCAAACCCAAGAGGCCAATTTGTATTAAAATAATTGGTGCGTTTTTATTGCAAATCCGTGAAGAGTGATTTAAAAAAAAAAAACAATTTTAAAAAAATAAGCAACAAAAACACACAGGCTATATACAGTTCTGTTCCTTCCCTTCGGCCATTTAAATCAGATTTCCCCCTGATCTTTGCTAGCTTCCAGGCCTGCTCAGAGCAGCTGCGTCGGCAGAAACGTAGAGCGATAAAAAGTTTGGAACAGTTGGAAAAGTAGCTTTTTCTAGCTTGATAAGAGACCGTGGAACTCGAGGCAAAAAGACTCTGTCAACAGGAGTTTGCACTGTGGGGGACTGCAAACTAAGTCCTCGCACAGTGTTGCTCAACTTTGGGAAAGTTAAGACGGGTGGACTTCTACTCCCAGAATTCCCCAGCCAGACATGTTGCCTGGGGAATTCTGGGAGCTGAAATCCACTAATTTTAAAACATGCTGGCTGGGGGATTCTGGGAGTTGAAGTCCACCCGTCTTAAAGCATGCAGGCTGGGGGATCCTGGGAGTTGAAGTCCGCCCATCCTAAAGACTGCTGGCTAGGGAATTCTGGGAGTTGAAGTCCACCCATCTTAAAGCATGCTGGCTGGGGGATTCTGGGAGTGGAAGTCCATCTGTCTTAAAACATGCTGGTTGGGGGATTCTGGGAGCTGAAATCCACTCATTTAAAACATGCTGGCTGGGGGATTCTGGGAGTGGGAAGTCCATCTGTCTTAAGACATGCTGGCTGGGGGATTCTGGGAGTTGAAGTCCACCCGTCTTAAAACATGCTGGCTGGGGGATTCTGGGAGCTGAAATCCACTCTTTTAAAACATGCTGGCTGGGGGATTCTGGGAGCGGAAGTCCACCCGTCTTAAGACATGCTGGCTGGGGGAGTCTGGGAGTGGAAGTCCATCTGTCTTAAGGCATGCTGGTTGGGGGATTCTGGGAGTGGAAGTCCACCCGTCTTAAAACATGCTGGCTGGGGGATTCTGGGAGCTGAAATCCACTCATTTTAAAACATGCTGGCTGGGGGATTCTGGGAGCGGAAGTCCACCCGTCTTAAAACATGTGCTGGGGGATTCTGGGAGTGGAAGTCCATCTGTCTTAAAACATGCTGACTGGGGAATTCTGGGAGTTGAAGTCCACCCATCTTAAAGCATGCTGGCTGGGGGATTCTGGGAGTTGAAGCCCACCCATCTTAAAACATGCTGGCTGGGGGATTCTGGGAGTTGAAGTCCCCCCTCCTTGAAGGATTGCTCTAGCAAACGATGGCTTATAAAGGGGAGAGCTGGATCTGCATTTAGCTGCTGTGAAAAGTGTGGGAACATCCAAGGACTGAAGGGCAGGTGGAGAAAAGGCTCCCTGGCTAAACATGTCCTTACGGTCAAGCGACCCAAACCCCAAGGTAACCTGACCGGCCTTTGCAAGAAGGGTGAGGTTTTGGGTTAAACCCCCACTCCTCACCCCACAATCCAGCTGTCTTGTCCAAACCACAACTCCCAGGATGCCTTGAGCCACTCACACCTAGTAGACCTTGCTCCGAGCAGCTTTGCGTAGCGGTGCAGCGGTGCTGGTGTTTGCAATGGCGGGGGGCAGAGCTGTGGGAAAGGGGCTCCCCCAGCCCCCACCCCACCCCAGGGACTCCTTTTGTGTGTTTTTTAAAAAAGGTGAAAACAACATTTTAAAAAGTTTTGTTCCTTTCCTCTCCTCCACAGCGATGCTCTCCCTGCAAAGAGAGGGGATGCTCTCCCTCTCCCTATGCAGAAAGCTCCTGGGGGCTGAGCGAGGGTCTCGGGGGTGTGGGGGTGTATGTGGGGGGGTCTCAGCTCAGGGTCGGCAGTGACAATCGTGGGCCAGGCGGACCGTCTGGAGGTTCAAGGAGCCGTCCTCTTTGAGGAAAAGAAAGGGGAGCGGGCTCTTTCGGGGTCGACAGCAGCGTCTCTGGCGGGAGAAAGGAAGAAAGGAAAAGTGGGGTGAATTTGGTGGTCTCCCCAATGCCAGTTGAGCCCTGGCACCACTACTACAGGTAAATCCTCGACTTACAACCGTCCGTTTAGTGACCGAGTGAAGTTGCAACGGCGCCTAGGACTGGTTTTTTCCCCCTTACGACCCTTCCAGGCGTCCCGTTTGGTCAGGGGATCAAAATTAAAACAGCTTGGCCCCTTGATTTGTATTTACGACGGTCGCAGTGATCTCGTGCGATCTCCTTTTTTGCGACCTCCTGACAAGCCAAGTCAACGGGAAAGCCGGATTCGTTTAACAACGCGTCGTTTGGGAGGCAGGGAGCTAAAGGCGATATTTGAAGTTTTAAAACCTGCATGCGAGGGTCAAAGAATAAGCTTTATTAGAAAGTTTAAAGTGTCATTTTGTTTTGTTTGTTTCAAAAAAAAAAAGTTTAGGACTTTGAGGGAAAGGGGAGGGTGAAAGAAAGTCAGAAAGAAAGGGAAAAAAGTTTTCCACCCTCCCTTCGGTAAGTCCAAAGAATTTAAAAGAATGCAATACATTTTGAAAGTAAAAATGGGGACAGTTCACAAAGATTAGGTAAAGGTAAAAGGTAAAGGTTCCCCTGGCACATATGTGCTAGTCGTTCCTGACTCTAGGGGGCGGTGCTCATCTCCGTTTCAAAGCCGAAGAGCCAGCGCTGTCCGAAGACGTCTCCGTGGTCGTGTGGCCGGCATGACTCAACGCCAAAGACGCACGGAAAACGCTGTTCCCTTCCCACCAAAGGGGGTCCCTGTTTTTCCACTTGCATTTTTTACCTGCTTTCAAACTGCTAGGTTGGCAGAAGCTGGGACAAGTCACGGGAGCTCACCCTGTTACGCGGCAGCACTAGGGATTCGAACCGCCGAACTGCCGACCCTTTCGATCGACAAGCTCAGCGTCTTAGCCACTAAGCCACCGCGTCCCTTCACAAAGATGACCAGGTGCAAATAGAAATACATACTATTTCCATAGCAAGGAAGCTAAAAGCAGGAACGGTTAAATCGATTATTTCATTTAAAGCGGCAAAATATGTTCTCATTGGGATATCGCTTCTGGAATTTGTGCTTCCGAAGAAAAAAAAAATGAAACTTTGATCTTGGTTTTGTTGATTAGAAAGACTTGGCGTTCTAGAAATGGCTTAGTTATATATTAATATGTCAAAGCAAAAAAGTTTGAAGACGTACAAAAGAGGAAACGTTAACGTGGAGAGTTGTTAAAAGAAGATGAGGTTAAGTATTACCGTTGTTATATTATTATATAATTATTCTATCAATATGATTGTGATGAATGCTGTAACAAACGTGTGGATGATGACTGTTTAAAAATAACTGTACCCAGATCGCACACGGTTTGATGGAATTTGAATGTTCTATCGATAAAATAAATAAAACGTGGGCAAAAAGGGCAAAAAGTTGAGGTTGGAGTGTGTTTATCTTGTACTGTGCCAGGAAGAGTTGGGAGTCAATGCCCGCTTTTCTTTCTTTTGCTATTTCACATCCCTTTCCTGCCCTTAATTTCCTATTTTCTTTTCTTTTCTTTTGGTATTTTATACAAAAAAAGAAAGAAAATTTGAAGATTAAAACAACGGCGTTACTAACTTAAGCGCTTCGCTTAACGAATGTGGCAAGCAAGGTCGTACAACGGGGGGGGGGCGAAAATTCACTTTGCCGTCGTCTCGCTTAGCGACAGAAAGGAATGGGCTCGATTATGGTTGTAAGACGAGGACTACCTGTACGCCACACAGCTAAATCGAGTTTCAATCCTTTGACTTCCAGGTCTGCCCTGGATCCTTGCGCCGGGAACCGCCCTGCACCTCCATCCCCTGCTTTACCTGTTGGGCATCCGCCTGGTCTTGATGGCTTGGTTCCTGGAGGCCACAGGCCAAACTCCAGAGGGGCAGCTGCGTCTCTTCTTTGATCCGGTGGCAATGGCACCCCAGACATTCGGTGAAGGTGAAGGAAGTGGGGCTCAGCACCCAATTCTGCCAGCCAAGATCTGGGTGGTGGGATAGGGGAGGGGAGAGAAGGAGAGAGAGAGAGAGAAAGAGAGAGAGAGAGAGAGAGAGAGAGAATGAAAAGATACACACATGTCACTTACACAATATTTCAATTTTAAGAAGAGACTGGACAGCCACTTGTCTGGAATGGGATAGGGCAGTGATGGGGGTCCGCCTGCCCGCGTGCCCACAGCCATAATTCTACGCACCCTGCCCCCTGCACATGCACGCATGACCCCCCCCCCGCGCTCCACCTGCTTTTGGCATGCAATGGCATGGTGGGCCCGTTTTTTGCTCTCCCCAGGCTCCAGAGCCTTTCTAGGAGCCTGGGGAAGGCAAAAATGGCTTAGCGCATTGTAAGCCGCCCTAAGTCTCCGGAGAAGGGCGGCATATAAATCAAATTAAAAAAAAAATGGCCTTCCCCACCCCCATGGAGGCCCTCCAGAGGCCGGAAATGGGCCAGCCTCTGGAGGGTCTCCGGGGGGGAGGGAGTAGGAAAGGCCATTTTTGCCCTCCCCAGGCTCCTAGAAAGGCTCTGGAACCTGGGGAAAGCAAAAAATGGGCCTTCCCCACCCTCCTGAGGCCCTCCGGAGGCTGGAAACAGCCTATTTCCCTACTTCTGGTGGCCCAAAAATCAGGTGACGGGAGCTGAGCTTGCGTGCCCACCGATATGGCACCGAGTGCCACCTGTGGCACGCGTGCCATAGGTTCGCCATCACGGGGATGGGGTCTCCTGCTTGAGCAGGGGTTGGACTAGAAGACCTCCCGAGGTCCCTTCCAGCTCTGTTATTCTGAAATTCTTCATTCCTGCGCCCTAAACCTAGTTCCTGATTCCAGTTTAGCTCAATGGGAAACCGACTCTCTGTGCATTTGCACGAAGCCAGGATTAATGTGCAACCTCAGCCAGTAGGGGGCGTAGTTACTTTTTAAACCTATTTTTTTTTAACCTGCTGTATTTTTCACGTTTTAACGTATTTTTTTAACCCGCTGTATTTTTTTTACTATTATTTTTTTAACCCAAAGTATTTTTTTTACATTTAGCTTATTTTTAACTCATTGTATTTCTTTTACTTTTTAACCTACTTTTCAATCCACTGTATTTTTTTTTACTTTTCTATCTAGTTTTTTATTTTTTAGCCCATTTTATAATGTACTGTATTTTTTTATTTTTAATCCACTGTGGTTTTCTTTACTTTCCAATCTATTTTGTAACCCGAGGTATTTTTTAATGTTTATAGTTCGTTTTTAACCTACTGTATTTTTTACTTTTTAACCTATTTTTTTTAAACATACTGCGTTTTCTGTTTTTTTTTTAAACCTATTTTTAATCTAATGTAGGTTTTATTTTTAACCTGTTGGCGTGAGGGAGGTACAGATACAGATTAACAGAGTTGGAAGGGACCTTGCAGGTCATCTAGTCCAACCCCCTGCCCAAGCAGGAAACCCTACATCTCCCTCTACCTAGGATCGAACTCCCGACCTCCTGATTGCGAGGCAAGGGCTCCACCTCTAGGCCACGGCTCCTGACAGACTATCCTGACTTAACATCATGGGTCAATTTTCAGCCATCATGGCTTAAATCAACAAATCCAGGCCTTAAACTATGGTTTAACTAAACTATGGTTTAGCAGAATGAACGTGTTATTACAAACCTAGTTGATAAGTTTCTTCGTTTATTCAAACTGACTAATAGGGTTCAGGCAACAAACCAGGGTTTTAAAAAATATTACAGTCTTAGCAAGAAGGAGGACATTCTGTACAGATTAAGTTTTGGAAGAAAACTTCCCTCACTTTTTTTTTTTTAAAAAAAACCACTAAACATACAGGATTGTGATATGAATATATTAATAATATTGTGATATTAACATATTATTTATTATATTACCATCCAGGGTGACGCGTTGCGAGATCTGTAAGCAGCCCCCTCTTTGGCTCACCAATGTCTGATTGGAGGTTATATCTGAGGACCGAAAAAAAGAGGCAGATAAGCAATTTGTAGTCCTTGATTTATGACGGTTCATTGAGTGACCGTTTCAAGTTAAAACAACACTGAAAAAAGTGACTTAGTTAGGACCGTTTTTCATACTTACGACCGTGGCAACATCCTCACGGTTAGGTGATCAAAAAATTCAGATGCTTGGCAACTGGCTCGTATTTATGACGGTGGCTGTGTCCCGGGGGTGTGTGTTTGTGTGTCAAGTGATCTCATTTTGCGACCTTCTAACTGGCCAAGTCAGCGGGGAAAGCTGGATTCGCTTAACAACCGTGTGAATAACTTAACGACGGCGGTGATTCCCTTAACAACGGAGCCAAGAAAAGTGATAAAAACGGGGCAAAATTCATTTAACAAATGCGTCGCTTTGCAGCAGAAAATTTGGGGCTTGCTTTGTGGCTGTAAATCGAGGACGACCTGTCTGAGTTTATTTGGAAGAGAGAAATTTAACGGTTCTCGGTTTTTTATTCTTGGAGTTATCCGGAGGAGTAAATCCTGAAGCCGGCAGCTTCAGACAGCGAGGAAAACGCAGGTGTGCGGAGTGTAATCTTTGTGTTAGAAAAGATATTGAATTAGAAATGTCCTTTTTTTTTTTGCACAGATAAGGATGGCTGGGTTTTTATTTCCCTGGCGAGACCCCCGTTTCCAGCCAGCTGTTCTCCTTCAAAGCCAGCAGGGAGTCAAAAGACTGCTTGTGAAAGAAGAACAACCCTGAGGATTCGCAATAAAAACAACAGAGGAGGATAAATAGGCACCCTATCGGACGCTTCCCCGGAATAGCTGAAAGAATTTGCAGAGTTCCTACAATGTCAGATTGTCCCGGATTTTATCAGGCAATGTTTGGGGTCTGTGCAAAGTCTGGTTTTCCGAAGGGGTGTGTGTGTTGAATTTCGTTTATAGACTAGTAGAGCAAGTTTTCTCCATCTTGGCTACTTTTAAGATGGGTGGACTGGACTTCAGCGCTCACAATTTCCCCAGCCAGTCTGGTTTACGATAGGTGAGTTTCAGAAGGGACCTTGGAGGTCTTCTAGTCCAACCCCCTGTTTAAGCAGGAGACCTCATACTAATTCAGACAAATGGCTGTACAATCTCTCTTCTTAAAAACCTCCAGGGATGGAGCACCCACAATTTCTGGTGGCAAGCAGTTCCACTGATGAATTGTTCTCACCGTCAGGAAATTTCTCCTTAGTTCTAAGTTGCTTCTCTCCTTGATTAGTTTCCACCCGTTGCTTCTTGTCCTGCCCTCAGGGGCTTTGGAGAATAGCTTGACTCCCTCTTCTTTGGGGCAGCCCCTGAGATATTGGAAGACTGCTATCACGTCTCCCCTGGTCCTTCTTTTCATTAAACTAGACATACCCAGTTCCTGCAACCGTTCTTCATACGTTTTAGCCTCCAGTCCCTTAATTGTCTTCGTTGCTCTTCTCTGCACTCTTTCCATTTTTTTGACCCCCTCTGCACATGCACAGAAGGCTTTGTACATGCACAGAGGGTCCAAAATTGTATGTGATGAGCGCACGAGCGAGCGGAGCGCACGCTTCCGAACCGGCAGGGAAGGTAAGTAGATTTCACCCCTGCTATATAGGTATGTCAAAGAAAAAGAAGATTCGGAATATTTTTATAACGTGGGATCTATGCTACAAATGGCTAGCTTGACAGATACAGAGGTTAGAGGAGTGGATTAATGTGAAATATGGACTACACGAGAAAGAAAAACCGATGAGTAAATATTTTGATGGTTGTATATTGATACCATGATGGAAGAACGTATACTTTTCAGTACCAATTGGTATTATCCAGGGGTGAAATCCAGCAGGTTCTGACAGGTTCTGGAGAACCGGTAGCAGAAATTTTGAGCAGTTCGGAGAACCGGCAAATACCACCTCTGGCTGGCCCCAGAGTGGGGTGGGAATGGGGATTTTGCAGTATCCTTCCCCCAGGAGTGGGGTGGGAACGGGGATTTTGCAATATCCTTCCCCCAGGAGTGGGGTGGGAATGGGGATTTTGCAGTATCCTTCCCTCAGGAGTGGGGAGGGAATGGGGATTTTGCAATATCCTTCCCCCAGGAGTAGGGTGGGAATGGGGATTTTGCAATATCCTTCCCTCAGGAGTGGGGTGGGAATGGGGATTTTGCAATAGCCTTCCCCCAGGAGTGGGGTGGGAATGGGGATTTTGCAATAGCCTTCCCCCAGGAGTGGGGAGGGAATGGAGATTTTGCAGTATCCTTCCCCTGCCATGCCCACCGAGCCACGCCCACAGAACCGGTAGTAAAAAAAAATTGGATTTCACCACTGGTATTATTGCATGTATGTTTATATGTACATAATTATAAGGACTATGATGAGGTTTATATTTTAATACTTTGGGAAACCTAGGAAAGACACAGTTCCATAGAGACATGGGATTTGTGATCTAAAACGATAAAAACTATTTACACACGAAGGGAGTCCTGGGAAATGCAGTTCTACCCTCTTCAGGTTTCCTCGTCCGAGCAGCTCCAACTCGGTGGACTTCTACTCCCAGAATTCTCGGCGGCGAACTTGCTGACTGGGGAATTCTGGGAGCGCAAGGCCACACAGCTTGTGCAACACCGATTTTTTTAAAAAAACCGATATTTCCCAGGCTGAATTGCAGCTGACAAACCGGACAGACGCAAAAGCCGGATCCGTTCTGCAGTCGAAAAGGAGAAGTGAGTATTTTCGACACCGACTATTTGACGCAAGCAAAACAGATGGTTGAATTCCCCCAAAAGAGAGGGGCAATGCTTTTTAATTCCTCATGCAAAATGTAGGCCATTCTCTGGTATGAGAAAGGGCGCTCTTGATATGCCCGTGCGCACTCTTGTTGAGTCACCCTTCCTTGCAACATGTTTAACCTGTTTTCGGACTGAATTTTCTCCCCTTTTCTGAGTTTGCGCCATCCAGTAGTTGGGAGTCATGAAATGACAGGTAGTCCTCGACTTATGAACACCGTTAAGCCCAACATCTCCGTGGCTAAACGAAACATTGGAGTGAATTTCGCCCCCTTTCAAACCACTTTTCTTGCCGCCGTGGTTAAGTGAATCAGTGTGTAACCCCGTTGTTAAGTGAATCCGGCTCCCCCCCCCCGTTGATTTTTGCTTTCACAAAAGGGGATCACATGAGCCGTGCTGCCCCCCCACCCTCTGGGACGCTGCCCCCGTCATAAATATGAAACAGTGGCCAAGCGTCTGAATTGTATTCGCCGGACTGTGTGGGGATGCTACAACCGGTCGTAAGTGTGAAAAAACGGCCCTAAGTGTCCCTTTTTTTCCAATCCCGTTGTAACTTTGAATGGTCGCTAATTGAACTGTTGTAAGTCAAGGACTAGCTGTAGCTCGCCAGGCATGGTTTTTAGCCCCACTTTGATTCAGGATTTGCAGGCTGGGTAACTGCATTGGCTAAGACTTTTGGAGACCTGGAGAAAAGTGTTAGGTGTGAACCCATTGACCTGGCACAGGATACAGATAGATACAGATTAATAGAGTTGGATGGGACCTTGGAGGTCATCTAGTCCAACCCCCCGCCGAAGCAGGAGACCCTACACCATTTCTGACAGATGGGAGTCCAGTCTTTTCTTGAAAGCCTCCAGGGATGAAGCTCCCACAACTTCCGAAGGCAACCTCTGTTCCATGGGTTGATTGTTCTCACTGTCAGGAAATTCCTCCTTATTTCCAGGTTGAATCTCTCCTTGGTCAGTTTTCATCCATTCTTCCTTCTCTGGCCTTCAAAGGTGCTTTGGAGAATAGCTTGACCCCCTTCCTCCTCTCTGGGGCAGCCCCTCAAATATTGGAAGATGCTCTCCTGTCTCCCCTGGTCCTTCTCTTCACTAGACCAGCCATGTCTTCTGTCCATCCATGGCTCACTCAGATGTCTTTCTTTCTTTCTTTCTTTCTTTCTTTCTTTCTTTCTTTCTTTCTTTCTTTCTTTCTTTCTTTCTTTCTTTCTTTCTTTCTTTCTTTCTTTTCTTCCTTCCTTCCTTCTTATTCTTTCTTTCCTTCCTTCCTTCTTTTCTTTCTTTCTTTTTCTTTCTTTCTTGTGCTTTGGAAAACAGCTTGACCCCCTTCCTCCTCTCTGTGGCAGCCCCTCAAATATTGGAAGATGCTCTCCTGTCTCCCCTGGTCCTTCTCTTCACTAGACTAGCCAGGCCCAGTTCCTGCAACCGTTCATTGTAGGTTTTAGCCTCCGCTCTGAATTGGGGGTCTCGGGGAAGGGGAGGGAGAGATGCCAGACAGAGGAGAAGCAAGGAGGGTGCAGAGGGACACTTACTGAGATGCTGTCCCCCGATGGAGGGCTCCGGAGACTTCCTTCCTTCTTTGGCCCATTGTTCCCGCACCTGGTGGGTCATGCTGGCCGTCAGCCGGGGTGGATGGTCTAACCGCAGCAGCTGGCACATCACGGTCCTTGCTCGCTGGAGGATTTGCTCCCGACAGCTGTGGGAGGGGGGATACAATCGACACGAGCTCAGCCACAGGTGTGGAGCGAAATTTGGGGTAATGGGAAGAGGGGGAGAAGATGGAGGTCCTCAATTTTCTCTTGGAAGCTGCTAAGTAAGGCATTCCTGCCTCGAAGGGCAGAAGGGAATAAATGAGGATATCTATCTATCTATCTATCTATCTATCTATCTATCTATCCATCCATCCATCCATCCATCCATCTTCCATCTATCCGACCATCCTATACATCCATCCTCTCTCTCTCTCTCTCTCCCTCTATCTTCCATCCATCCATCCATCCTATCCATCCATTGTTATCAATCTATCTATCTATCCATCCATCATCTATATCTCCATCCATCATTTATCCATCCATCCATCCACCCACCCATCCATCCTATATATCCATCGCTATCTCTATCTACAGTATCTATCTCTCTATCTCTCTATCTATCCATCATCTATATCTCCATCCATCATTTATCCACAACTCTACCCATCCATCCATCCTTCCATCCATGTTCCATCCTTCCATCCATGTTCCATCCATCCATCCATCCATCCTATACATCCATTGTTCTATCTATCTATCTATCTATCTATCTATCTATCTATCTATCCATCCATCATCTATATCTCCATCCATCATTTATCCATCCATCCACCCATCCATCCATCCTATACATCCATCACTATCTCTCTATCTACAGTATCTATCTATCTATCTATCTATCTATCTATCTATCTATCTATCTATCTTTCTATCTATCTATCTATCCATCATCTATATCTCCATCCATCATTTATCCATCCATCCATCCTTCCATCCATCTATGTTCCATCCATCCATCCATTCATGTTCCATCCATCCATCCATTCATGTTCCATCCATCCATCTATCCATCCATCCATCTATCCATCCATCCTATCCATCCATTGTTATCTATATCTATCATCTATCTATCTATCTATCTATCTATCTATCTATCTATCTATCTATCTATCTATCTATCTATCTATCCACCTATCCATCCATCCATCCATCCATCCACTCATCCATCCTCTTATCTATCAAATTTTGAAACTGCCCATCTCCCTCACCGAGGGACATTGGGCAGCGTACAGATACATAAAACGTACAGAAACGTAAAGCGTACAGAAACATAAAACCAGAAGATAATTTTTTTTAAAGAGGCAAGAAGGATTTCTAGTATAATGTTAAAAGTTAGTTTTAATTTTCTGCCCACTGGGGATTCCTCCGGATGGAGAGACGCAGGAGCAGGGACTGTGTTTGGAAACTCAGCACCACCTCTCTTCAGCCTTTCCAAATTATTACCCTCAGGCAGGGGCTTACTTTTCCCCCACCTGTGCCTGATGGGAGGTGTAGTCTGGCAGCTCCCAAATTTCTCTGCTGGCCCCCTCAAAAATCCCTTTGGGAAAAACATCCTTCCTTCATCATCCTTTCCTTTTATTCATCCTTACGTTGCCACCTCTACGATCCTCCCACATTTTCAGGAACATGCCCCCTCCCCCAAAAGCAGATCTGTCCCCAACCTCGCTTCTCCCCACCCCAAAAAAAACCCTCCGGATGTGCTGATCCGTGGCATTGACCCCCAATCCTCCCTTCCCCAGTTCAGCGTACGCGGCTTGTCTTTTCACTCAAGGGTGAGGTGGGGAGGGGGTCCCTGCTTTTGCAACCCATCTTTGCACTGGCATCCTTTCTTAGCCAGGTGGGGATTTGAACCCAGCTCCTCCCAGCCAGCCCCTCAACTTTTTGGGGGCTCCCCGACATTTGGAGGGGCAAGGGGGGAGGGGGTCTTGCTGGAAAGCCTTACCTTTCGTTGAGAGTCAGGGCAGAAAACTCACGAGTTTGCTGCTCCCCCGTGGGGTCTCCCTTCCGGAGGTCGGAGGTGCCAGCGGAGGGCACCCCGCTGGCCAGCAAGAGGTGGAGGAAAAAGAGGAAGAACATGGCACCGGGATCAGATGGGCTGTCGGAAATGGGCACAGGTGGGCACCGAAAGCAAGCAAGCCTTCTGAATGGGGATGCGATGGGACGCTGGGAAGACACTTTTATCTGTCTCTCCTCCAGGCCTGAGGTGACCTTGGCATTTTTCAAACTCCTCATCCCACGAGGACAGGAACTGCCGAAGGAGAGTCGGGTGCCAGCTCTTCGGTCCACCCCAGGGGGGGCAAAGCCAGGCATTCTCGCCACCCCTTGGGACCTTCCCTCCCTCCCTCCCTCTCTCTCTCTATCTCCTTCCCTCCCTCCTTTCGTCCATCCCTCCAAACAGTGGAACGACCAAAATCAGGATTTTGGCATCACGGATTTGCCAGGTTCTCAAATGGGAGCGGTTGGATTTGGAGGTGGGTGGGAAGACCGCTTGGGCTTGGGGTGGGGAGGGCAGGGAGGTGGAGAGGATGCTCCTGAGCTTGAGCAGAGCGCAGAGTAAACCTTGCCCCAGAGCAGGGGTGAAATCCAGCAGGTTCTGCAGAACCGGTAGCGGAAATTTTGAGTAGTTAGGAAAACTGGCAAATGCCACCTCTGGCTGGCCCCAGAGTGGGGTGGGAATGGAGATTTTGCAATAGCCTTCCCCCAGGAGTGGGGAGGGAATGGGGATTTTGCAGTATCCTTCCCCCAGGAGTGGGGAGGGAATGGGGATTTTGCAGTATCCTTCCCCCAGGAGTGGGGAGGGAATGGGGATTTTGCAGTATCCTTCCCCAGGAGTGGGGAGGGAATGGGGACTTTGCAGTATCCTTCCCCCAGAGTGGGGTGGGAATGAATGGATTTTGCAATATCCTTCCCCCAGGAGTGGGTGGGAATGGGGATTTTGCTTGCAATATCCTTCCCCCAGGAGTGGGGAGGGAATGGGGATTTTGCAGTATCCTTCCCCCGCCCCGCCCCCAAGCCCCGCCCCCCAAGCCACACCATGCCCCCCAAGCCACCGGTAGTAAAAAAAATTGGATTTCACCACTGCCCCAGAGGGCATAGTAAACTTTACCCCAAAAATGCTTTTTTTTTCAGGAGGCAACTGGATTTTGGAAGATGTTTTTCACTTCTCATCTAAGAAGAAAAGAGCTGAAGAAGCTTCCTGGATGAGAAGCGAAACATCTTCAAAAGACAAAAAAACCCCAAAACCAGAAAATCCAGTTGCCTCTTGAAAAAAGCACCTTTGGGATGACAGAGAATCTCTACAGGCCTTGCCCCGAAAGGACGCATCAGCAGGTGGGGGAATTCTATAGGGTCGAGAATGATAGAGTTGGAGGGGACCTTGGAGATCTTCTAGTCTGACCCCTTTGCTCAAGCAGGAGCCCTTATGCCCATTTCAGACAAATGGCCGTCCAGTCTCTTCTTAAAAACCTGGGAGCACCAGGTGGCGCAGTGGTTAGAGTGCAGTACTGCAGCTACTTCAGCTGACTGGTAGTTCAGCAGATCAGCGGATCAAATCTCACCGGCTCAAGGTTGACTCAGCCTTCCATCCTTCCGAGGTGGGTCAAGTGAGGACCCAGACCGTTGGGGGGCAAGATGCTATTTAGTATACTGTCTTTGGTGTAAGCCGCCCAGAGTCCTCGGAGAGTGGGTGGCATAGAAATATGAATAATAATAATAATAATAATAATAATAATAATAATAATAATAATAATAATCTTACATCCTCCGACGATACCTTAACAGTTCCTAGGTCCTTGGTTAGGACTCGAGCTGCTGAGCTATTAACCAGCCTCAAAGGCTGTGAATCTCACTAAAGATTAACCAATAATAATAATAATAACTTCTGGTGGCAAACAGTTCCGCGGGTTAATTGTTCTCACTGTCAAGAAATTTCTCCTTAATTCCAGGTTGCTTCTCTCCTTGGTTAGTTTCCATCCGTTGCTTCTTGTCCTGCCTTCAGGGGCTCTGGAGAATAGCTTGACTCCCTCTTCTTTGGGGCAGCCCCTCAAATATTGGACCTCTGCTATCATGTCTCCCCTAGTTCTTCTTTTGTTGTAGCCTCCAAGCCCCTAATCCTCATTGTTGCTCTTCTCTGCACTCTTTCTAGAGTCTCCAAATCTTTTTTTGTATCGTGGAAGACCAGAACTGGACGCGATATTCCAAGTGTGTCCTCTTCAGCGTTTTATTTTCAGTGGCATCGGAACAATTTAAATTAAAAGGGAATTTTTTTCCTGAGCATAAGCAGAGTTCAGTGAAAACGCACATATACACGCAATCTTGCTCACAACATTGGTTGTTGTTGTTTTTTCATCTGAGAGAAAGATGCAGGAGGGAAAAAAAAAATCTTATTCGTTTGTTTGTGGCCGCTGAATTTATTTATCTACTGATCTTCACCCACAATCTAACATGTCTCTGTCCAGATCCTTGAAACCATGAGGACTAGGAGCTTCATTTCCTTCCAGAGGGCAGGAGGATCATAAACCAGGGGTGAAATACAGCAGGTTCTGCAGAACTGGTAGCGGAAATTTTGAGTAGTTCGGAGAACTGGCAAATACCACCTCTGGCTGGTCCCAGAGTGGGGTGGGAATGGAGATTTTGCAGTATCCTTCCCCTGGAGTGGGCTGGGAATGGGGATTTTGCAATATCCTTCCTCTGGAGTGGGGAGGGAATGGGGATTTTGCAGTATCCTTCCTCCGGAGTGGGGTGTGAATGGGGATTTTGCAGTATCCTTCTCCTGCCACGCCCACCAAGCCACGCCCACAGAACCGGTAGTAAAAGAAATTGGATTTCACCACTGCCATAAATGGTTAGCATGCCGAAGGATTCCATCCCTTCCTTCCTTCCCTCCCTCCTTTCCTTCCTTCCCTCCCTCCTTTCCTTCCTTCCTTCTTTCCTTCCTTCCCTCCCTCTTTCCTTCCTTCCCTCCCTCCTTCTTTCCTTCCTTCCTTCCTTCCTTCCCTTCCTTCCTTCCCTCCCTCATTCCTTCCTTCCTTCTCTCCCTCTTTCCTTACTTCCCTCCCTCCTTCTTTCCTTCCTTCCTTCTTTCCTTCCTTCCCTCCTTCTTTCCTTCCTTTCTTCCTTCCTTCCCTCCCTCCTTCTTTCCTTCCTTCCCTCCTTTTCCTTCCTTCCTTCCTTCCCTCCCTCCCTCCTTCTTTCCTTCCTTCCTTCCTTCCTTCCTTCCTTCCTTCCTTCCTTCCTTCCTTTAAAGTTTTAAAGAAGAGATTGGACAGCCATTTGTCCGAAATGGTATAAGGTTTCCCGCTTGAGCAGGAGGGGGGTTGGACTAGAAGACCTCCAAGGTCCCTTCCGACTCTTCTTATTGGGTGACTACCTGCCCTTCCTTTCTGAAATTCAGAGAGTCAACCCTGGGGAAGAAAGCCTGAAGGACTGCTCCTCCCTTGCCCCCCTCCCAGCCCTCACATTCCTCCCGAATAGACACCTCTCTCGTCTATCAGCTATAAATAACACACACACACACACCCCACAGGTCCGTGGGGAGGAATGTTCCTATGGGGGGGCGGGGAGTTGGAAAGCCCAGGGCAGGCTGTGGGGCTGCGCATCGCCAGCCGGAGATTAGCTGTTCACAAACAGCTTCTTGGACACCTGCAACCCAAGGTCTTCACATCAAACGTTTGCCGTGAGCTGCGGCCCAGGGGACGGGGGATGCGAGGCGTCCCCCTTTGAAGATTACAAAACCCCCGGCCTCGATTCGGCTGGAGCGCTGGCGAAAAGCCCTTCTCTGGCCTTTTGATGTTTTGGGAGCCTCCCAGGTAGGAATGTTCAGCATGTTGCAGAAGTCAAGGCAAACGGTTGTTTGGGTGTCTTGAGAACAGCGAGTACTACAGAACCCGAAGGAGGGATGGAAGGGAACCTCTTGAGGTCTTCTAGTCCAACCCCCTGCCTTCTTTTTTTTTTTTTAACCGTCCTGGTCAAACGGACGTCCAAGTCGATTTTTGCTGGAGTCTTCTCCAGCACCAGAGTTCAAAGGCCTCCATCCTTTGGCCTTCTCAGCCTTCCTTATGGTCCAACTTTCACCGCCGTCCATTGCAACGGGGAACACCAGAGCCTTGACTAGACACACTTTTGTTGGCAGGGTGATGTCTCTGCTTTAGTATGCTGAGGTTGGGGTAGCGAGAATTAATACATTTCATGTGACGTTCTAGTACCACTTTATAAAGCCTTGGTAAGGCCACACTTGGCATCCAGTTTTGGTGGCCACGATATAAAAAAGATGTGAAGACAAGTGGAAAGAGAAGAGCGACAAAGAGGATTTAGCTGGAGGCTAAAACATACAAAGAATGGTTGCAGGAACTGGGTATGTCTAATGGAAAGAAGAACCAGGGAGACATGATAGCAGAGGTCCAATATTTGAAGGGCTGCCCCAAAGAAGAGGGGAGTCAACCTATTCTCCAAAGGACCAGAAGGCAGGACAAGAAGCAACGGATGGAGACTCACCAAGGAGAGGAGCAAGCTAGAACTAAGGAGGAATTCTCCAATGGAACAGCTGGCCTCCAAAAGTTGGAGGTGCTCCATCACTGGAGGCTTTCAAAAAAAGCAATTGGACAACCATTTGTTGTCCAATGAAATGGTATAGGGTCTCTTGCTTGAGGAGGGGCTTGGACTAGAAGACCTCCGAGGTCCCTTCCAACTCTAGGTTCTACAGATGAGCAGCCAAACGCCTCAAACGATATAATAAAAAATGAGTCCAGTTGCAATGACAGGCAACTTCAGACAACTCTATCTGGATGACTGAGAATTTTCATCAACATTGGTTTGTTGTTAGTTGCGAAGTCGTGTCCGACCCATCGCGACCCCATGGACAATGTTCCTCCAGGCCTTCCTGTCCTCTACCATCCTCCGGAGTCCATTTAAGCTCCCGCCGACTGCTTCAGTGACTCCATCCGGCCACCTCCTTCTCTGCCGTCCCCTTCTTCTTCTTTTGCCCTCCATCGTTCCCAGCATTAGGCTCTTCCTTCCAGGGAGTCCTTCCTTCTCCTTAGGTGGCCAAAGGATTTGAGTTTCCTCTTCAGGATCCGGCCTTCTAGAGAGCAGTCAGGGTTGATCTCCTCTAGGACCGACCGGTTGGATGGCCTTGCAGCCCAAGGGACTCGCAGGAATCTTCTCCAGCACCAGAGTTCAAAGGCCTCCATCCTTTGGCCTTCTCAGCCTTCCTTATGGTCCAACTTTCCCAGCCATCCATTGCAACTGGGAAAACCATAAGCCTTGACTAGACGCACTTTTGTTGGCCGGGTGATGTCTCTGCCTTTTAGGATGCTGTCTTCAACATTGGTTAGAGACATTTTTTGTTCTTCTTGTTCGTGCAACGATTGATTGATTTAGCCATGACTACAAAAGTTCCAAGAACTTCAAAAAGGAAGAGAAAAGCAGAGGTTGCTCACTTTTGAGATGAAGGGCTAAAAATTCACACCTCGCTTTCCTGTCGTCGTGGTTTTCCCCTCCACGCTCTCCCTCCGCCCCCCCGCAATCTTCATCTTTCTTTCCATCCTTTGTCGATACTTTCACAACGAACCCCAGATGCAACAAGACGCGCCCGCAATGCGGCTGCCCAAGCTCGCCGCTTGCTTGACGCTATGGGCGGCCTGGATCTCTGCTCTTCACGCCAACTTTACCTTTCCTTCATATCCGGGCATGGTAAGGAGACCCCTGGTAGGGGAAGGAGATGGGGGTGGTCGAAAGAAGGGAGTAAAATGGCTATCAGTTGCTCTTTTTTCCCCCCCCACCCATCTCTGATCAGCCTTGCAACTTGCCTATAATAATTTGCCGTGCAGAAAATAACAGAATTGCTGGAAGGGATCTTGGAGGTCTTCTAGTCCAACCCTCTGCTTGAGCATCTACCATTTCAGATAGATGGTTTTCCAGTCTCTTCTTGAAAGCCTCCAGTGATGGAGCACCCACAATTTCTGGTGGCAAGCAGTTCCACTGAGTAATTGTCCTCACTGTCAGGAATTTTCTCCTTATTCCTAGGTTGCTTCTCTCCTTGATTAGTTTCCATCCGTTGCTTCTTCTCCTGCCTTCAGGTGCTTTGGAGAATAGGTTGACCCCCCTCTTCTTTGTAGCAGCCTCTCAAACCAGGGCCTGGTGGCTCAGCAGACTGATAGCACTGTGATTAACACCAGCTGTCTGCAATTACTGTAAGTTCGAATCTCACCAGGCTCAAGGTCGACTCAGCCTTCCATCCTTTCTAAGGTAGGTAAATTGAGGACCCAGTTTGTGGGGGCAATAAGCTGACTTTGTATAAATAGACAAAAGTATGAAGGCTATTGCTTAACGCATTGTAAGCCGCTCTGCGTCTCCGGAGAAGGGGGGCATAGATATTAAAGCAAAAAAAAAAATTTAGAAACCAGCTGTCACCTTTATTTATTTATTTAGTTTGTACATGTTTATGTACAGGTATGTTCCCACCAATCCTTTTCTTCCTTAGGCTAAACACACTTAGTGCTCTTAACCATTCATCATTTGGTTTAACCTCCAGTCCTCTAATAGAATAATAGAAAAACATGGAAGGGACCTTGGAGGTCTTCTAGTCTAACCCCGTTCAAGCAGGAGATCCTATTCCATTTCAGACAAACGGCTGTCCAATCTTTTCCTAGAAACCCTCCCATTGATGGGGCACCCACAACTTCTGGTGGGCAAGTCATTCCACTGATTAATTGTTCTTACCGTCAGGAAATTTCTCAGTTCTAAATCTCTCTTGGATCTATAGATGTGTTGGATAAATCATCCATCAAAATCTTTTAATTTTCTGCCGGGCTCTCCGGTGATTCTCCATATTATCAGGGGAGAGAATTTTTTTTTTTCCCAGACTGGAAAATGCAGGCTGCTATATAGTTGATAGAATAATGGGGAGAGCTATCGTTAAGTTTGCCACCAGCTTCAGAAACGTCTTCGAGAAAAAATCTTTTTAAAAAAATTCTCAAGCAGCTTGAGAATAAAGTAAAAAAAAAACAGAAGCCTCGTCTTTGACCAAAGGAAGGAAGGAAGGAAGGAAAGAAGGAAGGAAAGAAGGAAGGACAGAAAGGAAGGAAGGAAGGAAAGAAGGAAGGAAGGAAAGAAGGAAGGAAGGAAGGAAGGAAGGAAAGAAGGAAGGAAGGAAGGAAGGAAGGAAAGAAGGAAGGAAGGAAAGGAAGGAAGGAAGGAAAGAAGGAAGGAAGGAAGGAAGGAAGGAAGAAAGAAAGAAAGAAAGAAAGAAAGAAAGAAAGAAAGAAAGAAAGAAAGAAAGAAAGAAAGAAAGAAAGAAAGAAAGAAAGAAAGAAGAAAAAGAAACAGCTTTGCATTCAACCGATTTTCCCAGAAATATAAAAGAGAATTAACAAGGCTAACACAGAGCTTCTGGGGAGCATTGCGTTTGTAGGAAAAAAAAAATCAAATGCAAAGGGAAATTTATCTTTGCAATGTTTTTTTATTCTGAAGCGGGTTAACTTTTTATGCACTGTCGTTTAATGCAGATGGAGATGACTGGGAGGTTCCAGGAGTTTATGGTGAAGTTTTCCAAAACCTACAATAGCCAAGAAGGTAAGCAAGCAATATCTATGAATTTCTCCTTCTCCCTCTACTACACCGTGAATCTTAAAAGTAGCCCAAGAAATGGGATTCTGATCAATCGTAGAAGAGGTTGAATCTAGCTGTGTTTTTAGTATGTGTGAATGCAAATTTGAATAATAAGAGTTGCAGCCCACTCATCTTCAAGCATTCTGGCTGGGGGATTCTGGGAGTTGAAGTCTACCCATTTTAAGGCATATTGGCTGGGGGATTCTGGGAGTTGAAGTCCAGACATCTTAAAGCATTCGGCTGGGGGATTCTGGGAGTTGAAGTTCACCCATCTTAAAGCATTCCGGCTGGGGATTCTGGGAGTTGAAGTTCACCCATCTTCAAGCATTCTGGCTGGGGGATTCTGGAGTTGAAGTCCAGACATCTTAAAGCATTCTGGCTGGGGAATTCTGGGAGTTGAAGTCCAGACATCTTAAAGCATTCTGGCTGGGGGATTCTGGGAGTTGAAGTCCAGACATCTTAAAGCATTCTGGCTGGGGGATTCTGGGAGTTGAAGTTCACCCATCTTAAAGCATTCCGGCTGGGGGATTCTGGGAGTTGAAGTTCACCCATCTTCAAGCATTCTGGCTGGGGATTCTGGGAGTTGAAGTCCAGACATCTTAAAGCATTCCGGCTGGGGAATCTGGGAGTTGAAGTCTACCCATCTTCAAGCATCGGCTGGGGAATTCTGGGAGTTGAAGTCTACCCATCTTAAAGCATTCTGGCTGGGGAATTCTGGGAGTTGAAGTCTACCCATCTTCAAGCATTCGGGCTGGGGAATTCTGGGAGTTGAAGTCTACCCATCTTCAAGCATTCTGGCTGGGGGATTCTGGGAGTTGAAGTCCAGACATCTTAAGCATTCCGGCTGGGGAATTCTGGGAGTTGAAGTCTACCATCTTCAAGCATTGTGGCTGGGGGATTCTGGAGTGGAAGTCCACACCACACAAGCTGCGAGGTTGAAAAAGCCTCGTTCTAAAAGCATTAAATTTCAGCTGCGTTCATTTTCATCTGTCCAGCTGCAAATTTTGAAGCATTTCAGGGCACTCCATGAGCTTAAAATATAATTATTTTGACTCCTGAGGCATTAAAACAACAACAGGGACGCGAAAAAGGATTTGGCTACCAGACTTTGCCATTCTCTCTTTCTGGAATGGTTTACCTGACTTCTCAATCTATTTAACCACGGCTAGAAGCAGGCAAATCAGGATCTAATGTCAGCTAAGCATCCACGTCTGTAACTAAGTGGGTTTCTCTGCTTCCTGCCCCTTTTGATTTCTTCACCCCTAGAAATGATTTACCGCTTTAAGGTCTTTGCCCAGAACATGGAAAACCAGCCGAATCTTGCAGGACACCGAGCTGGGGACGGCACAATACGGGATCACCCTTTCAGCGACGACTGACAGGTAAGATGTCAAGGGAAATGAAATGTTTGATCAATGGGGGGAAGGGGGATTAATAACAAGGAGGCAGAAGAACAGAATGCAGAATACGGCCTACAACCAGTTCAATGTGTTCAGTGAGAACAATCAACCCATGGAACTGGAAGTTGACTTCGGAAGTTGTGGGAGCTTCCATCCCTGGAGGCTTTCGAGAAGAGATTGGACTGCCCATTTGTCAGAAATGTGTTGTAGGTCTCCTGCATGGATGGCGGGGGGGGGTTGGACTAGATGACCTACAAGGCAGGGGTGGAATGTTCCGGTTCAGACCGGATCGCCCGATCCGGTAGCGATGCAGGTGGGTGGTTCGGAGAACCGGTAGCAAAAATCCTTGCCCCCCTCCCATGCCCAGCTGAGCTGCACAATCATCAGAGGCTTTTTTTAAAAAAACTTTTAAAAGCATTTTTCCTACAACCTCTTCGGAGAAAAAAATGCTTTTAAAAGTAAAATACTGCAAAATTACTGCAGGTTCGAATCTCTCCAGGCTCAAGGTTGACTCAGCCTTCCATCCTTTCTAAGGTAGGTAAACTGAGGACCCGGTTTGTGGGGGCAATAAGCTGACTTTGTATAAATATACAAAAGTATGAAGGCTATTGCTTAACGCATTGTAAGCCGCCCTGAGTCTCCGGAGAAGGGCGGCATATAAATCAAATTAAAAATAAATTAGTGGTTAGGGTTTGCAGTACAGCAGCTACTTCAGCTGACTGCTAGTTCAGCAGAACAGCGGATCAAATCTCACCGGCTCAAGGTTGACTCAGCCTTCCATCCTTCCAATGTGGGTCAAATGAGGACCCAGATTGTTAGGAGGGGCAAGATGCTATTTAGTATACTGTCTTTGGTGTAAGCCGCCCAGAGTCCTCGGAGAGTGGGCGGCATAGAAATATGAATAATAAAACTAAAATAAATAAATAAAAAAATATAAATAAATAAAAAAGCCTCTGATGATCGCGCGGCTCAGCTGGGATTGTCAAAGGCTTTTAAAAGGAAAAAAAACCCCTTTTTTACAGGATATTTTACAGTATCCTTCCCCTGCCACGCCCACCAAGCCACACCCACAGAACCGGTAGTACAAAAGTTTGAAACCCATCACTGATGTGAAACCAAGATTGAATGATGGCTTCTGTTAACTGGGTTTTATCGCTTCTGACTAACAAAGCTTCTTGAGTCGGCTCCATCGATTTTCAATTGGGTGAAGGTCTGGGCTATTCCCAGGCCATTCCAGCAGTGGAATAGGATTATCTTGAAAAAATACACTTTTCCCATAAAGTTTTCCACAATTTTGGCCCGCTACTGTATGAAATGGCGATGGGGAGGCAGTGCCCAAGAAGCAGGAGGGGAACATTCTCAAAGCAGCCAAACAACCTTATTTACTTCAATAAAGTGAACTGCGCCGGCTAAACCGCGCTACCCCGGTTTGCAAATTTGGAAAGTGTTTGACAGCGTATGCGAGCAAAGACCCCGGCGACCTTGGCTTCGCGGTGGGGCTGGTGGTGAGCAGACTGTTCCCTTCCTGCAGAAGTGGGCGGACCACCGTGCCGCTGTGGGCAAGCAGGATGTCTAAAGATAAGCCCACCGCAGGACTCAACTTTCCTGCAGGGTCTAAACCAGCTGAGTTTTTCAGCCTTGTTGCATCGACACAAAATGGTTAAAATCTCTCCGTAGCTTGCTCAGCCGGTCCAAGCTGGTCAAGGGACCCCAAGGTGTGTCTTTTTTTTTTCAAGACACGGCTGGACGTCTTGTCCAGTTTTCTATTTTCCAAAGCACCATTAAAGGTAAAGGTTCCCCTCGCACATATGTGCTAGTCGTTCCTGACTCTAGGGGGCGGTGCTCATCTCCGTTTCAAAGCCAAAGAGCCAGCGCTGTCCGAAGACGTCTCCGTGGTCATGTGGCCGGCATGACTCAGTGCCAAAGGCACACGGAAAACGCTGTTCCCTTCCCACCAAAGGTGGTCCCTGTTTTTCTACTGGCATTTTTTTTACGTGCTTTCGAACTGCTAGGTTGGACAGAAGCCGGGACAAGTCAAGGGAGCTCACCCCGTTACGCGGCACGAGGGATTCGAACCGCTGAACGCCGACCCTTTCGATCGACAAGCTCAGTGTCTTAGCCACTGAGCCACCGCGTGCCTTAAAAGCACCATTAGGCAAGACAAAAAAAAAAAAAAACCTAACCAAGGAGAGAAGCAACCTAGAACGAAGGAGAAATTTCCTGACAGTGAAAATAATTAATCTGTCAACTTTCTTCAGAAGTAGTGGGTGCTCCATCACTGGAGGCTTTCAAAAAAGAGACTGCAGAACCATTTGTCTGAAATGATATAGGGGTTCCTGCCTGAGCAGGGGTTGGACTAGAAGACCTCCAAGGTCGTCCTTCCTTCCTCTGCTCCTTCCTTCCTTCCTTCCTTCCTTCCTTCCTTCCTTCCTTCCTTCCTTCCTTCCTTCCTTCCTAAAAGAAGGCTTTTAAGAAGAGACTGGACCACCATGATACTGGGGTTGCATCAAAACCAAGAGAAGGAAAAGACGTGTAATTGTGAGCTTCTTGGACAGAGGAGGAGCAACGATTGTGGTTTCCAAAGCACAAGAAGGAGGGAAAAAAAAGAAACAAGGAGGAGGGAGAAAGGGATAGAATAGAATGAATGAGCTGGAAGGGATCTTGGGGATCTTCTAGTCCAGCCCACGGCTCAAGCAGGAGAACCTATAATATTTCAGATTAAAAATCTCCCATGGGAGCGCCCAAGACTTCTGGTGGCAAGCTGTTCCACGGGTTAATTGTCCTCACTGTTAGGAAGTTTCTCCTTAATTCCAGCTTGCTTCTCGCTTTGAAGGAAGGAAGGAAGGAAGGAAGGAAGGAGGGAAGGAAGGAAGGAAGGAAGGAAGGGAAGGAAGGAAGGAAGGAAGGAAGGAAGGAAGGAAGGAAGGAAGGAAAGATTGATGGAGGGAGGGAGGGAGGGAAACAAGGAAGGAAGGAAGGATTGAGGGAGGGAGGGAGGGAAACAAGGAAGGAGGGAAGGAAGGAAGGAAGGATTGAGGGAGGGAGGGAAACAAGGAAGAAAGGAAGGATTGAGGGAGGGAGGGAAACGAGGAAGGAGGGAAGGAAGGATTGAGGGAGGGAGGGAGGGATGGAAGGAAGGAAGGAAGGAAGGAAAGAAGAATTGAGGGAGGGAGGGATGGAAGGAAGGAAGGAAGGAAGAAAAAGATAGAGAAGAAAGGAAGGAAAATGTGTCTGAAATGGTATAGGGTTTCCTGCTTGAGCAAGGGGTTGGACTGGAAGACCTCCAAGGCCCCTTCCAACTTTGTCCTCCCTCCCTCCCTTCCTCCCTTCCTTCCTTCCTTCCCTCCCTCCCTCCCTCCTTCCTTCCTTGAAGGTTTTCAAGAAGAGATTGCACAGCCATTTGTCTGAAATGGTCCAGGGTTTGCTGCTTGAGAGAAGGAAGGAAGGAAGGAGGGAGGGAGGGAGGGATGGAAGGAAGGAAGAAAAAATAGGGAAGAAAGGAAGGAAAACGTGTCCGAAATGGCATCGGGGTTCCTGCCTGAGCAGGGAGACTCAGAGACCTCCGAAGGACCTCCTTCCCAACTCTTGTCAATTCTGTTCAACTGAAAACGGGTGAAGTGTGTGGCGGGAAGCTTATCTCAGCGCGGCTTGCAGGAAACAGCTTGGGACGGCCAATCCTACAATAGCTCTTTTGTTTGGGGGCACTGCAAGCGTTGTGTCCTTTAAGCGGTGTGTTTTATCCAACCCCGGTTGAAGGGATGAGTTGCAGGAGTGGGTGGGTGGGTGGCTGGGTGGGCAACTCGGCTGGCACCACACCCGGTGGCATACCAAGCCAAACAAGTCCAAGAAAGTTTGAATTCCTGGGGAATATTTTGCCCGAGTCGCGCAAAAAGGATCAAAAGAATTGGCTCCCCGTCCCCCATCCCACCATCTTTCCCTACTCCTGTGTGTGCGTGTGTGTGTGTGTGTGTGTGTGTGTGTGTATGTGTGTGTGTGTGAAGGTACACAACCCCCAAGGCCGGCCAAATTATTTTGGCAGCCGAGGCCGAAAATTCCACACGGACGTCTCCCCTCTTGGGGGAAAAAAGAGTAAAAATAGAAAATTAATAAAAAGAAGGTTTTGCCACCCCCAACGCCTGCAGTGGGTCACCTCTCCTCCGTCTGTTTTTTTTAATAAAACGGTCTGGACCGGCGGGGTTCCAATTGCCGAAGGGCAGGTAAGGCCGGAGGGCCAAGCGGGAAAGCTTGAGAGTCCTCGCCTTACAATGCTGCGTTTAGTGACCGTTCAAAGTTACGACGTCGGAATTGGGGGGGGGGAAAGTGACCTAGGACCGTTGTGCCACACTGAGGCTGCTTTTTTTAAGCTTCGGCGCTTTTTGGCAAAAGAGAAAGTGAAGATTAACCGAGTCGTCCACCGGATGCTTCCTCCACGGGGCACTGGACTACAATCAGGGCTGGGATTCAGCCGGTTCGGGCGAATCGGATGTTAATTTTAATCTGGTTCGCCGAACTGGTTATTCCAAGGACTGGCTGACCCCGCCCACCCTGGCCCTCCCCTCCCAGGAGTCCTCACACGGCCCGTTTTGGATGCCAGATAAGTGCAGGGCGCGCGCGGAAACTCGGGGAGGGCGAAAAATGGGCCTACCGGAAGTTTGGGAAGTCAGCCTCCAGCCTCCAGAGCCTGGAGAGTCCGTTTTCGCCCTCCCGGAGGCTCGAGAAAAACCTCCGGAGCCTGGGGAGGGCAAAAACAACCCCCCCAACCAGTGGTGGGTTTCAAAATTTTTTACTACCAGTTCTGTAGGTGTGTCTTGGTTGGCGTGGCAGGGGAAGGATACGGTAAAATCTCCATTCCCACCCCATTCCAGGGGAAGGTTACTGCAAAATCCCCATTTCCTCCCCATCAATTGGGACTCGGGAGGCAGAGAATAGATGGGGGTGGGACCAGCTAGAATTTTTACCACCAGTTCTCTGAACTACTCAAAATTTCCGCTACCGGTTCTCCAGAACTGGTCAGAACCTGCTGAAACCCACCTCTAGCCTCCCACTCCCACACATGGTGCAGGAGGCCGACTAGGCCACGCCCACGCCCACCACAGCCACACCCACCCAGCAGCCAGGCAGAGAACCCTTTGCTAAAATTTTTGAAGCCCATCCCTGGCCGGATGCTTCCCCCACGGGGCACTGTACTACAATACCCCTCATCCCTCACCCCCACACAACTCTAACAGCCGGTTAGAGAAGACTGGAGTTGTATAAGCTGAAGCCCCCGGCGAATAATATAAAAATGTTGTTTTCTCCCCTTACGCAGAAAGCGAGTTCGCTAAGAATATTTGCACCCCGGCTTTGCGGCCTGGGCCGTTTGGGCCGACGGAGCCGCGCCGCAGCTTCACGACGGCACCCCGATTCTGCGACTGGAGAAAAAAGGCCTTGTCTCCCGTGAAGAACCAGGTGAGCGTTGGACAGAGAGCGCTGCCAAATTGATCTTCTGCAAACTAACGTCCCATTGGACGCCGATTTCCGTCTTCTTCTCAGCCAGCTGGGACTTGTGGTGGTGATGGACGTGACTTACGCGGAGCGTAAATTTTAGGGAGAGTAGGGACGTTTTCCAGCCTTGATGACGCTGAAGGGGGAAGATGGATTCCTCCAGCCTTGTTGAGTGAGGTTGTCTTGAACTACTGAATAAAGTCCCTAGAGTAGGTTTTATTTTTATTTTTTGCAACTTTGGAAAGTTTAAGTGGGGTGGACTTCAACTCCCCGAATTTCCCAACAAGCTGACTGTCAAGTTTCCGAAAGATGCCCTAATTAATTCATGAGCCATGATCCAAACTTCAAAGGAAATATAGTCATTTATTAGGAGCAACATTCCGGCAATACTGGGATGCAGTTAGGACTGATCCCACGTAGATTTACGTTCCCCTATGACCCTGTCTCTCCCCTCCTCTCTGGCCATGTCATAAATCACATTCTCCAATTAACCACTTTGGCTGGCTGGGAAACCTAACACCCTCCTTCTGATTGCGGTCAGGAAGAATGTATGGAATGCACTTCAGTTCTCCCTCCCTCCTGCTCATGGCAACTTGAAAGCTTTGCAAGTTGACACTGACCTCTTAAAAGAATGCTGGCTAGGGGATTCTGGGAGTTGAAGTCTATCCATCTTAAAGGACTCCTTGGGGAATTCTGGGAGTTGAACTCAACCACTCTTAAAGCAGGCTCACTGGGGAATTCTGGGAGTTGAAGTCCATTCGTCTTAAAGGGCTCAATGGAGAATTCTGGGAGTCTTGAAGTCCATCCATTTTAAAGGGCTCAATGGGGAATTCTGGGAGTTAAGTCCACCGATCTTAAAGCATGCTGGCTGGGGAATTCTGGGATTTGAACTCCACCCATCTTAAAAGAATGCCGGACTAGAAGACCTCCAAGGTCCCTCTCAAATTTGTCTGCAGAGAGAAACCTAGATAACAGATAAAATGAGCAGCTGAATTAAGGATGGGGCTCAATTGTACGTAGGGCCCCAGTGTTTTCATTCAATAGAGCCAGGTGTGCAGATTGTGAATTAGGATCACCTCAATCTTACGACCGCCTTCTCCTTTACAACAACCCTGTAGGGTAGGGCCAGGATGAAGGCTAGTGATGCCCCCCGGATTAGTTCATGCAATTTCTCTTGGCAACTATAAGGAATGGTTGGAAAGCTGGTTGAGGAACTCTGGGAGTCAAAGTCCACCAGTCTTAAAGCGGCCAAATTGGGAGACTCCTGTTCTATAGGGTACTGAAGTTGCAATGTGAATTTTCCTGCAGTGTTAACAGCCCTGGGATACCAGAGCCGTGGTTAGAAATGGAAGCACACGGGCCAGGAGATCCTAGTTTAATGTTTCCTAACTCTTTTCCTAGGGAGAGTGCTGCTCCTGCTGGGCTTTCGCAGCCGTCTCCAACATAGAGGCACTGTGGAAGATTCACCGAAATGTGAATTGCAGCCTCTCGGTGCAAGGTATGGCAGTTATGATGGGAAGGAAGGTGAGCAAGGAGGGTTCAGTCAAGTATTTCTCAATCCCAGCAATTTTAAGATGGGTGGACTTCAACTCCCAGAATTCCTTGCTGGCCAGGGAATTCTGGGAGTTGAAGTCCACCCATCTTAAACCAGGCTGGCTGGGGGATTCTGGGAGTCCAAGTCCACCCCTCTTAAAGCATGCTGGCTGAGGAATTCTGGGAGTTGAAATCCACTCATCTTAAAGCAGGCTGGCTGGGGG